CCCCAAAACCCCAAAACCCCAAAACCCCTAGGTAAGGTAGCCATCTTGAAATAATAAAATTTTAATAACTATTTTTAATATTAACACAGCTCTGATGTCGAAAACATCAAACTGGGGTTGATAAGTTCTCCAGAGATATTTTAAGCTATCGTTCATTCAAGGCCAATGGAAGCTCTTGGCTAATGCCCTAAATGCCAAATGTTTACGATAAGGATAGTTTTAGGTTGATTTCCCAATATTTAGTAGAGTTATTTTTCAATGTTAGCCCAGAAGCCATATCTTGATTAATTCTTGTAGCTGGGCTAAATTACTCTTCTTTTTCTTCTTCTTTGTTCTTTCCCATCTTAGGGATCAAATTTTGTAACTCTGAATATTCAGAGGAAAAACTAGAGTGGAACATGCTCCTGTTTCCTGCAGGAGGTATTAAACCAAGCTATGGGTTTCAGAACAAACTTACTCTATTCTGGGAACTCTTCTGAGGATCAGTATTGATACTAGCCAATCTATGAGTTAAAATATGAAGGTGCCTGGCCTTTGGCTCGACCTTGGTGTGAGCTTCAGGACTTTTATGAGGCTTACTATTTCTTCTTTTGAATAACTTCTGTGCTGACCTATAACCCCAATTAAATTTCAGTTATTGAAATTATAGTGATAAAGATCTAACTCTACACTTAGTCAATGTGCATTGAGTATCGAATCCAAAACATGTAGGAAGAGCGTTCAAAATCTCTAAGGATTTTCAGATACTTCTAAAGGAATTCCCTGGTTCTCGACAAGAAATTTCCAAAAGTTGTAAGGCGAGAAACTACCGAAGTTTAGGGACATCCAAAAGGAGCAATAAATATTGTTGAGGAATAAGTAATTCGTAACACATTTAGTGGTGAGAATAGTAGGGACTCAATTCCAGCGACTGAGATTATGTCAAATTTCAAGAAATACTGGATAAGCCATGTTTATTGTGTCTGTCCGTGCTTTCTTCAGGGATTTCTGTAGGATATTAACATCGGTTATTACTGTTTATATCTGAAGCTTGCTGTTTGTTGACTTCTTTTCCGCTTATCTCATTTTTTATAGTATCACCAATACAGAAGAGGCATTCTAATATGCCAAAAATCTATATGAATAAAGCTCATAACCTTACCGTTCTGGCAAACTTTGATTTTTCTCCAAATGATCTTGAGAGTAAGCTGATCCAATGACCAACGAATATCGAGTGGGCGATTAGAGCAAGCAGCAATTCTCATGTATCTAATGATTCAACTTTTGCTGACTCTGAGAAAGTCAAATCTGATAGAATTGTCATAATGCAAGCATTTATAGCTAGAACTTCTATTTTGTTGTGCTTCTCTTCTTTGTAAGGTTTTAGTGAAATCTGAACTCTTGATGTAATGAATAAGATCATTGTTTCAAAGACAATTCTAGTGTATGTCGAAAAGACTAGACAGAATACTGATAAGAATTTTCTTAAGAGATTTATGAATTCTCAATAGAAGCGATTTGGAGTAAATCCTTGGAACATATGGTCCTTGTTATGTAACACTACCTTAAGTGCAATTATCGGAACCAAGATAACCCATATTAACAAAATTGGGAGTGCTAGGAGAAAGCAGTATTTCAAATGAGTAGATGAGTAGAATTCCAGATCCATTTCAAATCGTGCCCTATTAACATCTTCATCAATATTGACACATCTCCATGCATACCTGATATTAGCTACGAACCTATTAACACCTTAAGATCTTTTAGGGGTAGATGTGCGTTATGATGACTAGAGTAAGTTAATTCCTTAGTGATTAGGCTTTCAGATCGATTTATGCAAAAGCTCAAATATTTTGACCTTTCAAAACTATTTAGTTGGACATATAGAGTGAGGACTTGGATAGTGTTGTAGCAAGCAAAGCTATTAAAAATTCATTCGAATTGTATCTTCACAAATTTACTATCTTAGGAACCCAATGATTCATAAAGTTTTATTTTTTATTTTTCAATCAAGATTGAAAGAAGAGGGGTTTTGGGGTTTTGGGGTTTTGGGGTTTTGGGG